CGTCGGAACCTTGCTGCCATCTCCCCGGTCTCTATCCCTGTCTCCCGTGGGCTCCTTGCGCATACCTGCCGAGGCGGGAGCCAGCCACCTACTTCTTATAGCAGAGAGGAGCGAGGCTATTAATAGGCTACCTAATTACTCCGAGCTGTTCATGCTGAAGTCTCTAATTCTGTGATGTGGTTGTTTTGATTTGTTTTTCCAATCCAGTAGGACTTGCATTTACAGAACTGGTCAGACTCGCTCTAGAAGATATTATTTTAACTTTTAAAAATCAACTTTCATTCCAAGCGGGACCAAAGTCCCCAAGTTTTGACATTTCTTACGAAAGCAGCAACTGAAAACATCGCAAATTCGAATCGAGTGAAGCGTTTTGCTTAGCTAAGATTGCGAATTTCGTTTTTGCTTTTTGACTTTTTTATTTGGTCTCAGACGTTTCAGTAAGGCAGGTAAATGGCGGGGGGAAACGGTTCCAAAAGGGAAGGCGAGGGGTTGCCACGATGCCAAGAGAAACGGAGCGGCTCCACCGGAGCTCAGCGGACACGAGTGAAACGGAGCTCCTCCCGCAAAATGCCTCCAGGAGGACGGATTCGTTTTTGTCCTGTGGAAAATATTTCGCTGGAAGGTTTTGACCAGTTCCTATGATTTATTTTGTTTCCTAGTCAGAGAAATAAGAAGGCAACGATGCGCGGGGGTGGTTTGTCAGGCAGGTTTCGATGAAAAAAACGGTATTTCCTTCACGGTGCACGGTAGTGGCAACCACCGGCCCAGGGAATACTCGATGATGGGGGATTTTGCCTGTGGGGGTTCGGGTATGGTTTGGGCTTTGGGTTGTTGTGGTTCGTTTTTTTGTTGTTTTTTTTTTTTGTTGTTGTTGTTGTTTTGGTTTGGTTTTTTTTTTTTTTTTTAGTTTTTTTTTTTTAAGTGAAAAAGAATGAAGTCTCTGGAATCTTTGCTGTGGGGACGGGGGCGGAGGCAGAATAGCTAATAGCAGATGGGATTTGATATTGCCTATCATTCGAGCTAAGGGCCGGGGGGGGCCGGGGCGAAGCGCTGCTCTGAGGCGGTGGGGAGGGGGAGCGGCCCCAGCCCTCTCCCACAACCGGCTGTCGCAGTAAGAAGCCCGAGAAACTTTCCCCCGGGCTTTCCGCGTCCCATCCAGCAGAAGAGACCCCTGAAAGCCTTGCCCGACACACAGGCAGGAGCGGGGAGGGAGCCTGGGGGGGCGCCGGGCTCCCCCCTCGGCGGCGGCTCCCACCCACCCCGTGGCCCTGTCCCCCGCGGCGAGGCGGCGGGGCCCCGAGGGAGGCGAGGGGGCTTTCCTTCTGGCCTCACCCTGCAATTAGAAATAATAGATAATATAATATTCATCACCGCAAGGAATACATTAAACACCGCCCCACTGCTTCGTAGCAAGGGCAATGAGGTACCCGTTGATAAAAGCATCAAAATTGGGCCATTTAAGGCTGGCCCGTAAAAACCTTTAAAAACTCAGAGAATCAATAAAACTCAGAGAAGCAATAAATCCAAACCTTAGCTCCTCATTTTCAAAGCTTCTCTGTACGTGTTGAAAAGAGACAAAGTGCGTACACGCCCGTTGGACAGAGGCACCTAAGTCATAACCGTGTTTCTTAGGGTGCTGTGTGGGTCCCGGCCGCCCCCCGGTCACCCCGAGAGCCGGAGGGCACCGTCCTCGCCCTGCCCCTCCCGCCGGGGCTCACCCACCCGGTGCGGGGACCGCGGAGCGCCAGCTCCGGGAGTCACGTTATGCGGCAAAGAGGAGCCTCTCCTCCGGGCGTTTGATTGATTTAAAACTTTTTTTTTTTTTTTTTAAAAAAAAAAAGGCTGAAATCATTAACCAGGCGGACCTCGAATAATGGACGAAGGAGAGATAAAAAGAAGCTGCAGATCATTATTTAAGAAAGACAAACCAAAACCAAACCAAAACAAAAAAAACCCTCCACACTCTTAGCCACCTATTGCATAAAAGTCCGTAAGGGCTCTCTGCTGCCTGCGGCTTGTTTGAGCGTCAAGGGTTGAAATACACCGTGGAAATCACCCAAAATCACGGCGGCGGCAGGTCACCAATGACGGGGAGGCCGCTCATTGCATGGGAGAAATAACCTCCTGCCCCCTCCCCGCTCCAACCGGGGGGATAGGGAGCCAGCGGGCGGGAGCGGGGGGGGCTCCCCGAGGCTGGGGCAGGGTGTCCTGCCCCGGGCGGGGGCAGCCGGGGGGGCCCGGAGCCTGCTGTCTGCAACCAGCAAGCAAGGCTGGAGCTCAAGCCCGGCCTCTGGGCACCCGGGCAGCCCTCCGCTAGGAGTTTCGGGGAAAGAAAAAACAATCCCTTATCATCCTTGTGAACTGGGGGCTCCCCCCTCGCCGTGGGACTCATCTGATCGCTGGCAAAGGGGACACCCACCGTGCCCCCTCTCCCCTCTTGGTCTGGTGTACACAGGACCCTGCTGCTTTGGGGGTCGAGTTTCACGAAGCGCTGCCCCAGCTCCCGCGGCTGTCCCGTCCGGCCCGAGAAAGAGGTGATGGGCGGTGGTAAAGGCCCCTCTCCCTCGGCTGCCGCTGAAATCCCATTTTCCCCGGCTGGTGCGGATTGCCCCGCCGTGCCTGTGGCGTGGGGTCGGGTCCCGCGCGGCGGGGAAAGCGCCGAGCCGCACGGCCGGCAGCTCCCCGGTGCCCCCGGTCGATAACTCCGCTTCAATGTCACAGCCACTGGGGAATGGAAACACTCCGTATCGTGAGGTGGCCTTGATAAAAGTGTATTTTAAGTAGCGCGGATAAGCGAACAGGAGAAGAGAGGGAGCGAGCTGCCGACACGTCGCCTGAAATAGCCGCTGCGCTTATCAGCCCGGCCTAAACTCCCCAGCAGCCTCTAAAGTACATTAAGTTACATAAACACGGCTCGGAAAAGAATACACTCCATCCTGCGATAGTCACCAAAGTGACCCCCCGTACCGCCTCGCCCCGACGGCAGCAGCGCCCCGGGGGCACCGGGGGCACCGGGGCCCGGCCCGGCGGGCAATGCCCGCGGCTCCCGGGGCTGCCTGGGCTGGGGGGGGGCGCGGCGGGGATGCGGCCGGACCGGAGCCTTCCTCCTCTCCCTAATGCACCCCTCGTACGGGATCAGATTTGCAGAGACCCGGGAGTAGGGGAAGGAGCAACCACACCGTGCCTGCACACGGCTTTCCCCCAACCCTTTTTTGGGACGTTGAAGTGCCTATGAGGGGATTTGCCTTAATTGGATAAAAAACCTTTTTGGTGGGATATTTTTTTTTTTTTTTTTTTTTTTTTTTTTTTTTTTTTCCCCACAATCTGCCTCCTTCCCTCTTTGGCCACAGCCAGCGGGAGCGGCGGTTACCTCGCTGGCACCACCCCGTCAGCATCCCCCCGCCCGGCTTTTCTCTGCAAAAATGCCTCTGCACTCTCCCAGCCCCGGGGCAGGAGGTACCCGAGAGGCTCCCGGAGCCCCGGGGTGAAAGACACGTCAGAAGAGTGGGATTTGGGAAGGGAGTGACGTCATGAAGAGTTGGGAACCGAGGGCTGTATGATTTGAACGGTTCGAGAGCAAACCTGAAACGAAAAGGAGTGGAGAGGAAAGGGATGATTGGGAATGGTTTCCCATGCCGGTCCCAGTTCAAGCCGGATTTTCTTATCGGGTCTATCGGAGGAAATAAAATGAAACTTGTAGCCCGGCTATAACGTAAACAGGCTAATCAGCGGAGAAAAAACCCGAGGCGCCTGAAGTGTAAAACACAGGTCACTTTGGAGACAGGGAAAGAGGCGCCTGCCAGGCCAGCGCGGCCGTTCTTCCTCCCCGCCATCCTCACCTCTCGGGAGGGCACCCCCCGGACCGGGCAGGGGCTCTGCCCCCCACCCTGGGGGAACAGGGGAGCGGAAACCCCACTCCCAGTGAGTAAAGTCCGTCGCTTGGAAAAAAAAAAAAAAAAACAAAAAACAAAAAACAAAAAACACGGCATCTCTCGCATTACATCCACCCTTACACGTGTTTGAAATACCCTCGGGTTTCACTCGAGAAGGGACACCCAAAAGATTTAAACGAAACGCGGGGTTTAAAGCCGATAGCTCGTCGCTTTTCAGCGCAGAAATGTGCTGTGGCAGCACCCACGCAGGGAAGAAGCGCCGTGGGCATCGATACCCTTGGCTTCCCCTGCTCTTGTCGCGCTTTTGCAGGTAAAAAACACAGGAAAGCGTTTTACGTTGCAAATTCGGGTTGGAAAACACGGCGCACGTTTACAGGCAACGAAGCGCTGCCTTCGCTTGCAAAAGCTTATTTTCTCTTTAATGTTACGACCAAGAAAATACATCGAAAAGGAAAAAGAAAAAAAAAAATCACTTCAACCTGGCAGGGTGACCAAAAGACCAATATTATTTAGAGAGAACTGAGAAGAAAGACGCATCGCCTTTAATTATACAATTTAATAGAGAAACGGTTTACCGGGAACGTGGTTATTTTCCGATCAAACCCCTGTGCCGCCCTATACCACAAAAATTAACGAGCACCATAAAACTTCGAGGTCGCAATCAGTTCACCCACGCCGGCAGAGCGGATGGCTACAGCCAGAATTTTACCGTACCCCCAGCACTGCAAATACTGCACCTCCCGATCACCTTGCCTGGAAAGACGGAAAGAAAAACCGTGCCTACCCCAGGAGCGACAGCACCGCGCATCAGCAGGTTTGGGCTCGGTTTCTGTCGGGCGGGCTCATGCCTGGCGGCTGCCGAGAGCCGGGCTCTGCTCTAGTCCAGCCCTTTGCCGCAGATGACTCTTTCTGTACAAACTGATGATGACAGATATCCAGCTGATAACCTCTGGTGAACGAAGTTATTTTAATTTCCAGTCACTTTCCTGCTAAGTACCATATCAGTTTGTACACAGCTGAGATAAGAGGGCCGGGGGGGGGGGGGGGGGGGGGGGAGGTGGCGGGGGGGGAAGAAGAATAAGAAAGAAATAGAGGAAAAATGCCTACCGCCTGCTGCTGGGGTGGACGCATCCCACAGCTTGCTTTGGCTTCACCTGACGGTTGGGGTAACTTAAGGAGGAGCCACATTTCTTCCCCTCGGATAGCTCTGATTTTAATGAACAAAAAAATAAGGGGACTGAGGGGGGTGAGACGTTCACCTGGTTGCTTAGGGCGAGAGCCAGGCACACATCCTCCCGGGCCGCCGGCAGGGACCCTCCGCTGCGAGGCCGGGAGGCGCGGAGAAAAAAAAAAAAAAAAAAAAAAACCAAAACCCCACAACATAAACCAAAACAACTTACAAAAGGTGAGTATGCATCCTAAAGAAGGTATTATCCAGGACGGGGTGGGGGGGGGGGGAACTGTGTATTATTTCTGGGTTTAAAAAAAAAAAAAAAAAAAACAAAGACAAAAGAAGGGAAAAGACGCGGGCAACTGGGAGGGCGAGACCACCGCTGCTCTACCCAGCTCACCGAGCAGGGCGTGCGGTACCCCCCCCTCCTTTCTGCGGGCACCCCGAGGTACCCCCCCCGCCCCCCTCCCGGGGCTGCTCCCGCTCCCGCCCCCGGCGCGGCCGCGCTGCGGGCCGGCCGCCCGCCGGGACTGGCACCCCTGCGGAGCTCCGTGTTTGTTTAGGGCTCGCCGAGCCCAATCAGGGCCGGCTGCCTGCAGTTTTCCGGCAGGGCTGCGAGAGGCGCCTCCTCTCTCCTTTTTATACATGAGCCGCCGGCAGCAGCCGCCGGACTCGCCGCCGCCTCTCGCCCCCGTCGCACCGGATTTACCGCCCGCCGCGGCCCCGCGCCCCGGCCCCATGCCGGGCACCGGCAGCAGGTTTGGCTCCTCGCTTCTCCTTCTTTCTCCACCCCTCCTCCTCCGCCGCGATTCCCCGTTTTCTTCCCCGCTCTTCTGCTCCTGCCTCTCTGCCGCGCCGGGAGGAAAGCGGCGGCTGCGCCTGGCGGGGGGAGCCCGAGGGAGGCTTTGTGGGCAAACATCCGATGCCGGTGCCTGGAGCCCTTATCTGCCGGAGCCTTATCTCCCAGTTATCTCGCAGGAGGGAGAGACGTGTTTGGTGCCTATCTGCGAGGGGGGCTGTGTGTGTGTCCTGTGTGCATGTGCCTACGGTTATCTGGAGAGCCCCGAGGTGGGCTGAGAGCGGAGAGCCTCGCCGCCCGCTTCTCTTGCTGTCACTCCTCTGCGTCCCCTTTCGCTTTCTGCCCCTTCTCCAAGAGGCTGGGCACTGGCGGCTCTCTGTCTGTCTGTCTGCCTGGCTGTCCGGCCTCTCTCATGCTGGCAGCTCCGGTCACGGGGGGGCTGGCAGCGGGATGGATGCCACCCCGCAGAGGTGTGCTCGGGCTCGGGGCAGGCCCCCAGCCAGGGCCGCCGGCTGGCACCGGCCGATGCGGCAGGCACAGCCCCCCCGGCCCCGGCGCACACGTCGGAGCCCGGCCCGTTCGCATCTCCCGGCTCCCGGGTGCCTTTCCCTCCTCCGCCTCCTCCTCCTCCTTTCCGTGACCTTGGGCTGGAAATAAGCAAACAAGCGAGGCGATGCGCGGAAAAGCTAACATCTCTCCCCGGAGAAGTAAACTTAAAGGGATCGCCTTACTAATTGTTTTCTTGGTGGAACCGAGTCAAATGACTCATTCATTGAAATAATCATCATAACAACAACAACGACAGGAGCCAAGGAAGGGGCTTTGGCACAAACCAGGGAAAATGCCCCTCTTCCCCCCTCGCCCCCCTCTCTCCCTCCCGTCCACCTTCCTGCCGGCGTGCTTCGCGTTCAGATCCTCAGCCCGGGGTGCGGAGGGAGAGGGGCGCAGCCGGCTGGGGTCGCGGGGAGCGTGGCCGGAGCGCTCAGCCCTGCCCCCGCGGGAACGCGCTCCGCGGGGCGCTGCGCGGCCGCCGGCTGCCGGCCCGTGTTGACCTGGGCCGCCTGATCCCACCGCCGGGGCGAGGGACAGCAGCGCCGAGGCGACATGACTGATTAAGCGCTCAGAGGGTCCAGATAAGCCCTGATGAATCTCATTAAGGGAGGGAGACGGGCTGTCCTGTTTGCTAACTTCGTTATTATTATTTCTCTCTCTCCCCCCAACCCCTCCCCCCCTCTTTTGTGTCCTCCCTCCCCGCCCTGCCCTGCGGACCCCCCCCCTCCACTCCTCCTCCTCCTCCCCCTTCCCCATCCACACCCAGCGGCTAGAAGGGGACCTGGATGGCCGTGGCTGAAGGCGGCTGGTGCGCGGTGAAGCGGTGCGCTGCGGACGCCGGCGGTTCCTCCTGCCCCTTCGCGACCAGGGAGCCGCGCCCGTCTCCTCCTTCGCCCTCCTCCTCCTCCTCCTCCTCCTCCTCCTGCGGCGGCTCCCCGGGCGAGCGCGGCTCCTCCAAGACTCCGCTGCCGGAGCCCGACGGCAGCCACCGGCCGGCCCCGCCGCCGCCCCCCGCCGCCGAGGGCAGGTCGCTGCTCGCCCCCTACGTGCACTTCGGGGCCCCCCACCCCTCCGGCCTGCCCAGCTGGGAGGACATCCTGTTCTTCGCGGATTTAGACCAAACCAACAAGCTGATCTGGTCCAGCCGCGGCCCCAAGCTGAGCGCCCTCGGCGCCGAGCAGCCCGAGGAGATGTACCAGACCCTGGCCATCTCGGCCGCCCAGGGCCCCACGCCTTACGACGGATCTCCGGGTGGCTTCATGCACTCCACGCCTAGCTCGCCCGTCTACGTGCCCACGACCCGCGTGGGCTCCATGCTGCCCACGCTGCCGTACCTGCAGGGCAGCGGGGCGGCCCAGCCCAGCCACCCGGGCGGCGGCCACGCCGTCTGGTCCCAGCCGGCCGCGGAGAGCCCCTCGTACGGCACCGGCGGCGGGTCCCACCCCTCGGGCCGCTTCCCCTACTCCCCCAGCCCGCCGGTGGCCAACGGGGCCTCCCGGGAGCCCGGCGCCTACAGCAACAGCCTGGGCGCCAGGGACCAGTACAGCCCCCTGGCCCGGCCGCTCAACGGCTCCTACCCGGGGCCCTACACGTCCTACGTGGGGCCGCAGCTCACCCCTGCCTGGCCCACGGCGCCCTTCGAGAATTCCATGCTGCACTGCCTCCAGGGCCGGGCCGCCCCCATCCCCGTCCGGGCACCCAGCGCAGGTAGGAGCCGCCGCACACCGGGGGCGCGGAGGGGGGCCGGGGGGGGCCGGGCAGGGCATGGAGGCCGCCGCATACCGGGGCTGCCCGCTGGAGGGGCCCCGGGGGTGCCGGGGGGCGAGGGGAGGCGGCTGCGGGGCTACCCCGGAGCGGGCTCCGAGGGGGCGGCTCCGGTGCCGGTGGCAGGACGGCGGGCCCGGGCCCGTGGCTAGTGTGGAGCGGGGGTGGCTCTCGTCGTTCGCGTTGGACGTGCTGGGGGGGGGGGGGGGGGGGAAGAAACAACAAATGACCCTCCCCCCAAAAGCGGCGTGATTTGGAGTAGGGCAGTCGGGGTTGCAGACCGGCCATTCCCCAAACGAACGTCCCGGTGTAAGCGCCGCTTTTCAGCTTCCCGTCTCGGTACGTTTCTGCTGCCCCCAAATGCGATAATCTGGCCTCGAAATGGTGACAAATTCACTGTGAATTAACCTTCCTGTAGCGTAGAGGAAAATCGCAGCGGCTCGCTTAACCTTTACTGGATTGTTTCAATTTCGCTGCTTCGTTAAAAGAGAAAAGCAGCAAAGCTAGACCTCGGGTATGAACGAGAAAGCCCGTTTGTAAACCGCCGTTAAAATACGGCACCTCCTGATCGGATTTTACTTTCGCTTCCGAGGTGTCTCGTCCTTGTTTTTTAGTTTAGGAAATTCTCGGTGTCATTAAATTAATTGTAGAAGTGGAGGCTGAGCCGCGATGATTTAGTCAGAGGTAGAAAGATTAACGATTACCGCAGTCTCTTCAGCCTTAGAATATATGTATGTATTTATAAATACAGATGTAGGAAGGTGTGTGTGTGGCTATGTGTGTGTATATATGTATATTTATATACATTCATGTATATTTATGTATTTGTGTATATTTATCTTTTTAAAATATATATATGTATGTATACACACGCTCACTCACACATTTGATCAGCATGTGCTTTAATCATATAATCATAAGCTACCCACCAGGTAGGTATATTTTATACACACTGTGATTTTCTCTTTCAGTGCAGTGTTGCAGAAAATTGCTCGATGGCTTTTCATCTTTCTATAGGGGTGCAGAGGATGCTCCTCCTGCCTCCCGGTAGATTTAGACTTTTTAAGCCTCCCACTTGGTGTTTGCTAGCATGACAGGGGGGAGAAGACTCACTCAGTAGTAGTGGTGGTAGGAGAAGGGCAGAGCAAAGCCGAGAAGCCGTGTCTCAGTGCAATCTGAAAGTTGAGGCGTTTCTAACGCAGTTTTCAAAAGTTACAGTGTAAAACTAGATGATGAAGAGGAAAAATTCGTGGGTGTTTGTTTGTTTTGTTTGTTTGTTTTTGTTTTTGTTTTTGGTTTTTTTTTTTTTGTGTGTGTGTGGTTTTTTGTTTGTTTTGTTGTTGCTTGTTTTTTGTTTTGGTTGGCTTGTTTGTTTCTTTTTTTTTTTCGGGAAAGAGTTGGAGCATCTCTCGGATGGGAGAGGGTCGAGGGAGAAGGGCCCGAGGAGGGAAGGAGCAGGGCGACGGAGAAGGCCGGGGCAGGAGCTCCGGGCCAGCCGAGGGGGGGCACGGCAGCTCGCCCGGCTCCCGGGGGCTCTCGCCCGGCTCCCGGGGGCTCTCGCCCGGCTCCCGGGGGCTCTCGCCCGCTCTGGTGCCGCCGGGGAAGGCGCGGGCAGCCACGGCGCTGTCCCGCCTTCCCCACCTTTCCTTGGACGGTGCCTCCGGCCCCCCGGGCTGGGGAGCGGAGGGGCAGGGGTTGGTGTTTCAGGGAGGGGAAGGGCGGGTGGCGGGGGAGCCCCAGCGCGTTGTAACGCGGGGGCGAAGCAGCCGCCCGCAGCCCCCGGCCCACGCGAGGTTTCTGCTCCTGCAGGACAAAATGCGGCAACGAAGCCGGAGCCACGCGTGTTCCCGCTTCAAATAGTCGCGGCAGCGGTCGGGAGCTGCACATGGTTGCCGCGATATAATTTTATAACGAAATATCGGACAGTTCGATCCAGCTTTCGTAACGTTACTCGTAGAGTTACTGAAACAATATCTGAAATGAAAACTTTATTTTGCTTTCATTTGAGATAAATATATTTCTCACGTTCTAAAGGGGGAAATATTTTTAAATGCCCGAGAAATATTGTCACGGCAGAATTTCTGTCTGCAGGCACGAAGGTAGCGTTATCAAGTAAATAGCTGAGACAAATAACTGTTTAACTTCCAGCGTCCTTGAAGCCTTAAGCATTTTCCTGATTGCAGTCTTCAATGGCGCTTTTAGTGCAAAGATTAATAAATCTTAGCGATGTGCTAAGAGCTATAAGCTGACAACGTAAGTTGAACTGTGCTCTCTGGACTCTGCCG